GGGGGCTTCTGGTCCTTCTAGGTTTCATAGGTGTTCTTTGGTGGTATTAGACCTTTACTGGTTAATAGCAGAAACTTGTCCCTGATCTGAGGACTTTTGTTTTTTCTTTCAGTTTTGTGTTTGATTATTCACTATTCCCAGCACTTAAACTTTGCACAGGAACTAATTTATTGTCCTTTGCTTACTTCCTGTGGGGACCAGCACTTGAGCCCTGTAGTTGAGCTACGCAAAATTGCTGCTTTGCTGCTGATTCCCTGGGGGAGAATTTTTGTGCAGCTCAGATTTTAAATGTTGACTTTGTAAGCACTCCTGGGTCTTGTGAGATCTGTTACACCTGGGTTGTGTGGAAACTCTGGTCTGGGTCTGAGTCTCTTCAGCAGATCGCACCCACTGCAGTTCTATATTCCTGACAGGTCTCCACTGACTGATCTTCTGCTGATTGGAGGGCAGATCAGCTGTCCTTTCAATGTTCCCCTGTTGGGCCCGTCTCCCCCACCACTCACACTCCAAATACTTCCCATAGGGTGGGCCATGCACCAGTCCCTTGGGATGACTCATTGGCCTCTGAGTGGCTCCTTTTTTCAGTTGTCTGTGGCCTCTCACTCCTGTGTGGGTCCATGGGAACACTGTTAGTGGTCTAGCTGGCCTGGGGGCCATCAAGGCACTCTTCTCCCCTGCAGCCTCCAAGCAACTTCATACGAAGCACACAGCTGTGGCTTTTGCTGGCTCCTGCTACATTTGCTCACCAGGGCCAGATTTGAAGTGGTTGGGGCTCAAAATGGTCTAAACGGTCCTTTCTTTCCCTCATCATGGCTTCTCCTGCCTTCGTGAATTCTGTAGGTCTCTCCTCCTCTTCCCATGAGCTCTAGCGGCCCCAGCTTAGCAGTCGTTGGTTTCAAATAGTTGTAAATTGGATGACTGTGGGAGAGGGTGATGCTGGGTACCGTCTATTCTGCCATCTTGATTGGAAGTCCTTACTGTGGTTTTGATTTGCATTTCCCTGATGCTGAGTGATGTTGAGCATTTTTTCATGTGTCTGTTGCCCATTTGTATAATGTCCTTTGAGAAATGCCTATTCATCTGCCTTGCCCAGTTTTTAATGAGGTTATTTCTGTTTTTACTGTTAAGTTTTTCGAGTTCCTTGTATATTCTGGATATTAATCCTTTGTCAGATGAATAGTTTGCAAATATTTTCTCCCACTTTGTAGGTTGGTCGTCTTTTTTGCTCTGTTAACTATTTCTTTTGCTGTGCAGAAGCTTTGTAAATTGATATAATTCCATTTGTTTATTTTTCGTTTAGTTGCCTGTGCTTTGGGGGTCATATTGATAAAGTCTTTGCGTAGTCCTACTTCCTGAAGTATTTCCCCTGATTTTTCTTTTAGGAGTTTTATAGCTGCAGGTCTTTTATTTAAGTCTTTAATCAATTTTCCTACTGGTCAGTGTGCTTATCCTTTTTTCATTTTTATTTGAGCCTTGCTGGCTTTCCTAACTCCATGCTCTCAGTGGCTGTGGTTTATAATCCTTTGAGCATATCTGCTTGTTGTCAGGCCTCACACCCTGGCAGGCTCCCTTTCCTACAGTTTCTACACTGTCTTTTAGGGTAGGCATTTGATGTGCCATTGAGAAGGAGGAACTAAAACATTTACCACTTATTTTAAGGTGAGAATGAAAGAAAATGGATTCAAAAGATAGCTGCTGAGACCAAACTTAAATGTGGTACTATAAGAATCAGTTGGCTAAGGGTTAGGTGATTCAGTCAATAAGGTATTTGGTGAGAATTGAAGATACAATAGGCTCTGGGTCTGGAGATGAATTTACAGTGGATATGGATTTACAGTGGATAGACATAGTCCCTATTCCTCAAGAGCTCACAATCTAGTACTGAAATTCTCAAACTTTGTTCTGCATCAGTCACCCAGAGGTCTTTTAAAATACTGATGCCTTGGTTCACTCCTCAGAAATTCTGATTGAATTATTTTAGGGTGGGCCCTGGAGAAGTACATATTTTTAAAATCTCTCTACCTGATTATATCATTTAGCCATATTTCAGAATCATAGTTCAAGTCAGTTCTGGTTTTATGCTTTTATGCACTGCCAATCCAGCAAGTCACAAAATATACCTCTGACTCAGTCTCCCCACTAGTAAAACATGGAGATATCATTTGCTTTTCATTCATTTATGTCATAATCAACGTTTATGGAATTCATTGTGTTAGACATTATGATAGGGTCAAAGAGAGAGTTCAGTTATAGCATCCATTGTAAAAGGCATTACAGGAAGAAAACTTGAAGTAAAACTTCAGTCCTCAACAGCAAACTTCTTCAGTGCTTTTGACATGAACTCTCTGTATACAGCAGACAGGAACTTTGTGTTAACTGATTTGTTAAATCAGTACATGCACGTGAGGAGACGAAATCTTCTGTTAAACAGTCACCTGGTTGTGCTGAACACAACCTGGCAATTCCACTACGTGTCCTAGTCTAGTGTATTTACAATCCTACTTGCAGACACTATTATTTCATACTTTCTCTTCTAAAACCTTCAACACCACTCCTACTCCCATTTCAGTCTTGACATGGTTTATCATTTTACTGAGAAAATAGAATTTAAAAAGAAACGCATTGCTGTCCAAACATCAAATTTACCAGTTTACCAGCATAAGTACCCATATGTTTTGCCTTTTTTGTTCCTGTGCATATCTAGGCCTAAGAATTCTTCCTGTGCTCTAAATCCTCCTGTGCTCCCAGCACTTCTACGATTGTCTCTGTTCTTAGTGCATCACCAATTTATCCTTCTCTGCCAGATCTTTCCCATCAACAATTATGCATTAACAACATCTATCTGAGCAAAACTAAACAAGAATATCCTCTAGGAACCCACAGCCTACTCTAGCTATTAACCCATCTCTTTGCTCCTTCTCTGCAGAACTTCTTGAACCTGTCTTATGGGCTGTCTCCACTTCTTCACCTCACCACATTGCAAGTGGCCTATATATATACCTTCTATAAATGTCTCATCTCTGTCAACTATTCTATTATACTGTCTGTAAATGTCTTAACAAAGTCACGTGGTACAGTGGTCAAGTCTCTGTTCTCTATGTCAGCCTGCAGATGATATTTGAACACAGAGGGCTACTTCTAGAAACACTCTCTTCTCTTCCTTTGGTATCTCTGACACCGCATCGTCTTGAGTGCCCTGTTACAAAACTAATTACTTGTTTTCTGTCTTCTTGCTCATCTCTTCAAATGTCGAGTCTTCCAGAAGTTAGTCCTAGGACCTCCTTTGGTCTCTAACTGAACTCTCTCTTGTAATATCTTGTAGTTCCATGGCTTCAAATATATCTATTAAGGGATAACCTCCATCTTTCTTATCCCCTGTGTTCTCTCTGCACAAACCTGCTCTTGCTCCCCCATTTCCCCACCTCAGTTAACAGAGTTAAGTGTCCTTGTTCTTCAACTGCAAAACCTAAATGGCTACCTTCGTTCCTTTCGTTTCTTCATTGCACAACATCGAATCCAGCAGGAGGTTCTGTTAGCAATAGCTCCAAAATATATTCCAGTCTGACTACTGGTTCACATCATCCTGTGACCTCTTTTGTTCTAGCCAGTCTCACCTGTGCCTGCACAATGCACCAGGCTCCTAAGTGGTTGGATTGCTCCCACCTTTGCTTTCCTGTCCTTTTATTTTCTAGGGTTGTCAGACTGATTTAAGAAAATCAGATTCTTTTACTCATTTTAATGGCTTCAATTGCAATTTGAATTTAATTCATCTGCTTTCAAACAAATCAACTTTATAAAAGACATCTTTGAGAAAATTAGGAAAATTTGAATAAGCATTTGAGGATTTTAAGGAATTATAGTTAATTTTTTTTAGGTGTAGTAATGGTATTTGGGCTATGTAAGAAATTGCCCTTATTTTTAGGGATCCATTTAGGGGTGAAATGCCATGCTTTAGGAATATTCTTTAAAATGTTATAGCATCCCATCTCCCAAAAAAGTAAGAAAAGGAGGAAAATGGGTAAAGTTGTGTGGCCAAATGATACTTGTTGATTCTGGTTACTTGCAGGTTTATTATACTATCCTCTCTCCTTTTATATATGTTTGACAATTTCCATAATATAAAGGTGAAAAAGGACAACTAAAGTTGCCAGTTTTTTGTCATGGCCCTGTCTGATTGAGTATCTGCCTACTTCCCTGGCCTTTTTCTCACTCTTCCTTTTTTGGCTGTAGTTCAGCCACACTCCCTTTCTCTTCCTACACATTTTAAGCCTTTCACGTTCTGGACCCTCTGTCTGGCACACTCTTCACAGGGCTGCCTTATTCATGTCTTATTGCCAGAGACCATTTCCCCAACCATCCCCTCAACCCCCACATACTCTATTTTTTAAAATTAGGCTACTTTGTTTGTTTCCATGTTTATTGATTATTTTCTTCTATTAGATTTTAAGCTCCATGAGGCAGAAACTTGGGTCTAAAACAGTTCATAGTGGGTACTCAATAAATACTTCTAAAGAATGAATTGGGTATCACTTTTTTACCCCATTTGAAAACTAAGAAAACCAAGGCTGTAAAAAATTATGTAATTTTCTTACTGTCACGGATATTAAGAGGCAGAACTGAGATGTGAACACAAGTTTTTCTGATTTAGGAGCCCTTTAAACGTGTATTATTTCCTGGAATTAATTAATGGGAGGCAGGGTGGTGGGGGAGGGGGCTGGGAAGCATAATTCTCCACTTACAAAACTGAAAGAAAGATTGTCTTTGGAGGTGTTTTGCTTTGGGAAGAAATTGCATGATTTTAATTGGATTCTCAAAGGAGTTCTTGGGCTCCCAAACTTTAATCATTGTTTCTTTAGTTGCTATCAGGTGCAACTTACAATGTTGGAGGCTCAATTAAATATAGGAAATTTAAACTGCTTGCTGATTAAAGTATCATGTTATCCAGTTTTGAAGACCAACACTTACATAACTTTTCTGGATTTAATCATTTATTTTTACAGGCCATCGGACGTCCCTTTTTGCCTCCTTACTGGTCTCTGGGATTTCAGCTGTGTCGATGGGGCTATCATACCATAGATGTGCTGAAGAAAACAGTTGAACGTTTAAGACGATATGACATTCCTCATGTAAGTGTGCCCCAGACAGTACGGTGAAAATTGAGAAGAAAAAGGAAATTACAAAGTGTAGTGATTATATATATGACATGGAACTGGCATCATTTTTGTGTATTATAAAAGAATCATTTTTATTCTATTTTTCTTACAAGATAATATGAAAATCACACCAATATTTAAATTTCTAATTGAGTGCAGTCACTTACGAGCTACTTAAGATTCTCTAACAATATTTGTTTGTTTCTTTTCCTAATTTTTGGAGGTTATGTCTCTGTTGTTCTTTGCACAGGATGCTCAGCATGGTTATATTGACTACATGGAACGTCAGATGGACTTCACTTATGATAAAACTAACTTTGCCGGTCTGCCTGAATACATTAAGGAACTGAAAAATGATGGAATACATTATGTCATTATTTTGGTAAATTTCTTTTGAAGATCGAACATATAAAATATTTTAATTCATTTTTCTAAGCATTTCTAAAAATATACGTTACAATCAATTTATTAAAAGATAGAATTCCCAGCACTAGTATATTTTTGAAGAAAAAAATTTCATGCAATATTTAATGATAGATGTTATATTTCATTAAAAATAATAAACTATAAGCAAGTTTTATATTATTCAATGACACAGATATGTCATCAACAAATGATAAAGGAAATAAATTTTTTTTAACCCAGTGTTCTTTTAAAGGAAAATTGATTCATTGATAAAAGGAGAAATGTGGTTTTTGATTGATGGCAGTGCCTGTAAAGATTTGAAGACTTGGCCAAACAAAGAATAACATAGTTATTGAGTAAATAAATTGATATTTAGGTTGATTTCTCTGACCACAAGTTAGAAATTTCTTCTCCATATTGGAGCACAACATTATCTTCAGTTAATATTTATAATATAGAAGAAAAGTCATCTCTACAACTACTTCTAGAACATGAATGTTACTAAAGATTTGTTCACAATGAGATTGTAGGTGAGAGAGATTTTAAATTTTATAAAATGTTTTTTCCTTCTATTATCTTCATGTGATAATAGAAAGTGTCATTGTATGTTATAATTCTACATGACTTAATTAATGGTGTTTAAGGTTTATGAACAAAGAATTTATATTTTTAAAGAATAGCTTATAAATCAAGAGACACATATTTGTTACCCAACTGAGATATTTTAACAGGAATGTATGAAGAAAAATATTTAAATGTAAATATAATAGTAAAAAGTTTAGCAAAGGAAGCAGATTCGGAGTTGAGTCAGTATATATTTGTGGAAAAAACAATATAGAATCATGGACCCCCCACTACCACCTTGAATCACTGACTTTTAAAAAGGATAATAACTTTAAAAATTTGTTTACCCCATTGCTTCATTTTGTGGAAGAGAAACTTGGGTTTTTTGTAGCAGTGTTGAGTAGAATCCAAATTTCTTGATTTCCCTGTCCAGGGGTTTTCCCACCATTTCATACTTGTATCTCATATAAAAATAGTAAACAAAAAACCAGGAAAGAATGTATGCCAAAGTAGCAAGATATATCTACACATACAACTTTTCAAGTAAAGAAAGAATTTTTAATTAGAAGCAATAGATTACGTGGTTAAATTAACATCGTTTCGGTCCACATTTTGCCATACTAAAAATTTGTAGAAATGGACAGTTATGTTTGAAATTGTATCTAATAGATGGAAATAGCTTAATGCGTACACCATAAAACACATTGTTTAAATAAATATTAGAGATTCTTATTTCAAAAATTTTTAGAAAGTTACATTTAAAAATTAATTATCAGACTATTAACAATCACAATGCTCTTGGGAATTTGCAGAATCCTTTTTTGACAAAAGATGAACCACACGGTACTTATAAGCCCTATGAGCTTGGAGAGGAAATGGGAATTTGGGTCAATAACTCTGATGGAGTCACACCAGCTGTTGGCAAGGTGAGCACCTTAAAGAATAGATGACAACCTCCTTCAGTACTGAGTGTTTGATGAACAAGTACAATTACACGGCATCAGTGAACTGTCGTTACCTGAGTTCAGTTCAAGAAAATTATATGCAGCTTATCCAGCTGTTTACTACTATGTATTTGGAGCATTGGCATGGATACTCAGACTTTTTAAGAAATCATTTAGGTCCCAGAAAATTGGTGAAAAATTCAAAGTATATATTAATACACAGTGTAACATTTTGGAAAGGCATACTTTTATCATTATGATAAAATTATAGATAATTTTGAGATTATATTGGAAAATTAAATTTTTATAGATTGAGGAAAGAAATATATAAAATATTTCTTTTTTTCACTCTGTTCTTTTTTTCTTGAAGATTCAATTTTTTAAAATTTATTAATATTATTTTTTTACGTTCTCTGATGTTGTGGAGCAGTTGGGGGGAGGGGGAGAGAAGAAGGGGGAAGGAAATAGGGTGGGAGGAGGAAGGAGGAGGGGTGGGTTGGGGCCTGTGGCACCCCCTCATTCCTGCAGGGGAGACCCAGGAGCTTCCTGTGGCGGTTGGGTCATAGCCTGGCTGGTTGTGGCTGTTGGGGTGTGTGGCTGAAGCTCTCAGTCCTCCATTGCCCCCGGCTCTACCTGCGGCAGCTTGATGATTGTCTCTGGGCTGGTCATGGGTGTTGGGAGACATGGCTGAGGCCCCCAGCCCTCCTCCCTTTCTGGCTTGGTAGTGCAGGGGATTTCTGGTCCTTCTAGGTGTTACAGGTGTTCTTTGGTGATGTGAGATCTTTACTAGTTAATATCAAATTTTGTCTCTGGTCTGTGGGTATTTTGTTTTTTCTTCCAGTTCTGTGATAGATTATTCACTGTTCCCACCACTTAAACTCTGCACTGGAACTCATTTTTTGTCCTTTGCTTACTTCTAAAATGGGGGAACTTCCTGTGGGGACCAGCACTTGAGCTGTGTGGTTGAGCTAAATTGTTGCTTTGCTGCTGATTCCCTGGGGAAGGCTTTTTGTGCAGCTCAGGTTTTAACGGTTGACTTTATAGGTACTTCTGGCTCTCGTAAGGTCAGATGCACCTGGGTTGTGTAGAAACCTGGTCTGGGCCTGAGTCTTTTGAGCAAACTGCACCCCATGCAGTTCTATATTCCTGACCAGTCTCCACTGAGTGGTCCTATGATGATTGGGGGACAGATCAGCTGTCCTTGCTGTGCCCCAGTGTTCCCCTGGTGGGCCTGTCTCTCCCACCACCTGTGCTGCAAACACTTCCCATGGGGCAGGCCCTGAGCTGGTCCCTTGTGATGACTCACCAGCCTCTGAGTGGCTCCTTTTTTCAGTTGTCTGTGTCTTCTCACTCCTGTGTGGGTCTATGGGAACGCTATTAGTGGTCTTGTTGGTCTGGGGGCCACCAACGCCCTCCTCTCCCCTGCCACCTCCAAGCAACTTCATCCAAAGGGCACAGCTGCCGCTTTTGTCAGCTCCTGCTCTGTGCTCTCAGCAGCTCCAGCCTGGATGCAGCCAAGGCTTGAAACGGTCAGAACGGTTCTTTCTTTCTCTCTTCGTGGCTTCTCCCACCTTCATGCCCTCCATAGGTCTTTCCTCCTCTCCCCCTGAGCTCCAGCAGCCCCAGCTTAGCTGTCGTTGCTTTTTAATAGTTGTAAATTGGTTGATTTGTGGGAGAGAGTGATGCTGGGGATCATCTATTCCACTGTCTTGACCAGAAGATCTAAAATATTTAAGTGAAAAGAAGTTCCTCGGTTTCTTTTATACAATGAAAATATTCTTATAGTTTTTGCTGATAATCAAAGAAGTACAACATTGTAAAAAAAATTATGTAGTACTGATTTATATGAAGTGGAAGTGACAGTCCTTCTTTATTCTCAACTCCTCAAAATATCACTTTTATCTTTTCAGTGTATATTCCTCTAGATTTTTAAATATATGTAATCATATTTTTGAATGAATGAAAAATACAATATATGCCAGTTAAACCCTCTTTAAAACTATAACAATAATGTATATATCTTTTTATGTTATTGCATATAAAACTATCTCATCTTTTTAAATAGTTATATGATATTCCACTGTTCCCATGTGGGAAAATTGATTTAACCAATCCCTAATGACAGACATTGTTTTCTTTCTAGTATGTTTATATTATAAAATATGCTGCAGCAAACATGTTGGTACATAGTGTTTATGTATATTTGTCTCACTATTTTCATACAATGTATTATTCAAGTGAAATTATTACATTTAAAATGCACGTTGCAAATCTTTATATGCTTATTTTCTCAATGTCCTCAAGATGTTTGTATCAGTTTGTACTCTTACCAAATAGGCCTCTTTATACATTAACTGGCACAGCCCAACCGAAAAGCTGAAAAGTGTTTTCCTGTATTAATTTCAGTTATTTTATTATGAGTAAGGTTAAGCATCTTTTTCATAATCTTTCTTTGCTACTTCTATTTCTTTGTGGAAAAAAAAATCAGTATATACTGTTTGCCATTTTCCTTCTGGGGAGGTTTTCTTTTTCTTATTAATTTGTGAAATACTATTTTTTTCCATGTGTGACTCCAAACATGTGTCCTAGACTGTCTTTTAACCTAATTACTGTGTCTTTTGCTTGATAGTTTTAAACCTTCTTATACCAAATCTTTAAAAAAATTTTTAAATTTTTATTTCTGCCTTTGGTGTCATATTTCAAAAGGTCTTTCTTAACTCAAATGTGTAAAAGCAAATATCTATATGTTCTTAGAGAATTTTTAAGTTTTCTAGACACTTAAATCATGAATCGGTCTGCTAACTTTTGTGTATGATGTCAGATAGAAATTGTTTCAATCTGCTTGGGCTGCCGTAACGAAAACTGAGTGGCTTCAACAACAGAAATTCATTTCTCACAGTTCTGGAGGCTAGAAAGTCTAAGACCAAGGTTCTGGCAAGGTTTAGTTTCTGGTGAGGGCTCTTCCTGGCTTGTAAATGGTCACCTTCTCACTGTGTTCTTACATGGCAGGGAGATACACACACACACACACACACACACACACACACACACACACACACACTCAGGAGAGAGACAGAGCGCAGTCTGATGTTTTTTCTTAGAAGGGCATTAATCCCATCATGAAGGCCCCACCCTCATGATCTCATCTAAAACTAATTACCTCCCAAAGGCCTCATCTTTAAATCTATTACAATGGAGGTTAGGACTTTGACATAGGAATTTTAGAGAGACAAAATTCAGTCCATAGCAGAAATATGATTTTTTTCCAAATGGATATATAATAAATCAAATATCACCTATTAAATAATTCAGCGTTTCTGCACTTCTTTGATATATCATCTTTATCATGTAGTAAATTTCCGCTAGACATCTATCTGTTTCTTATCTCTCAGTTTTGTTGCATTGCTTTGTTTATATATTCCTGTATCTAGTGTTGTTTTACTTAATATGAGCTTAGGGCATGTTTATTTAGGGTTTTTATTTTTTAAAAATCTGTAGTCAGTGCCATTCACTTATAATTCCAGATGAATACACAATCAAGTTACAAAACATCCCATTGGAATTTGGGTTGAAATAGCTTTAAATTTACAGATCTTGTTGGAGCAACTTGACGTCTATAGATACAACATTGAGCCTTCTCATCCACAAACATTCTGTGTCTCTTAATTTATATGTCATCTTTTGTATACTTCATAAATTTTCTATAATTTTCATTATATTATTCTTACAGCTCTGTCAAAACCATAGATATAGTTTTGTTGTTATTGTAAATGTAATTTTTACATTTTCTAATCCTTATATCTGTATGATATAGATTTATGTGTGAAGAATGTCTGAAAGTACAATAGAATAATCAAAATATGATTTCATGTGCAAGTTCATGGCTGGAAGACCATTGGACTGAGATGTACGATTTTATTCCCAATCTACCACGAACTTGTTATGTACTTATATTATATACTTGGTTAAGTTATTTAACTTCACTAGTTCTCAGTTTTTGCTTGTTTGATCCAAAATGCAGAATAAGGCTCAACTATAGGGATTTCTATACCACATTAGGTACGTTGCATTATTTAGTTTGATTTACTTGTTTTTTGTAGGGTTGGCCTCCAGGAGATTCAGTGTTTCCAGACTACACCAACCCCCAAACAGCAGAATGGTGGATCCAGTTGTGTATGGAATTTAATAACATCCTCGATTATGATGGGATCTGGATTGTAAGTCTAAATTTATTTATTTATTTATTTATTTATTTAAATGACTTCCAGTGAAAAAGTGAAACATTATCCACTTGTCTTTCTTCAATGTTTTTAGCAAGCCCCAGAAAGTGAAAATTCTCCTTCTCTATTTCTTGTATTCTCTGCTTCATCTCTAATACACCATGGGAGGGGAGAACTACTTCCTCCAAGAATAGCAGCATCTGTGTCTGACGTTGGATCACTGCATTATCTTACTCTAAATGAGGCTTGTTTCAGCATTCAGCATGGTTTATGCCTACTGTGTGCAGGGCAGTGGGGAGGAAACAGTTGGGGAGATAGGCCTGCAAACAAGCTAGAGGCCACGACAGAACAGGCTCTGAATACAATGGGAACACAGATGAAGGGCTTGGAACTTTGGTCAATTGAACTCAAGTCTGGGGAAGTTCAGGAAAGCTTGTTAACAGAGATAATGGTTAAGGAGAGGACTGATCAGTAAATGAGAGTTAGCTAAGTGAAGCAGGTTGTGGGTGTGAGTGTGTTTCAGGTAGTGGGAATGGCACATGCAAGAGTGCAGAGGAGAGAGACCCGAGCATGGTGCTGATTTAGTGTTATGGGGAAAATAGCCAGTTGCATGCCTAATAGGCCCCACTCTGCCAGGCAGACACCTGCAAATGGACTCGTGTGACCAGAAGATTGAATGAAGCCTAGAGAACTCCTGCTGCTCAACCAAGGGACATTTTTCTCTATATGCAGCATAATTTACTGTTTCCGTGCCTTTGCTCATGCTTTTCTTCCCATTTTTTCTCCTTCCACATGTTCAAATTCTAGGAGCCCATCAACATGCAGCCTCCACACCAACTTCTTCATGGTGCCTCAGTGGTACACTTAGTAATTCTTTTCTCTTATTTCAACAAGCAGGTATTTACTGAGCACCTACTCTGTGTCAGGAGGCATTGGGGATACACTTAGAAAAATTTTTGCTTTACAGAGCTGATATTTTAGTGGGAGATACAGACTATACACAAGATGAATAAGTAAAACATAGAGTATGTGGATAACAGTAACTGTTAAAAAGAAAAATTAATTGTGGACGTGGAATAGGAAGTTTCAGAACTTAAAAAAGATTGGAATTTAAATAGGGTGATCAGGGAAAGTGATAATTGATAAAGGTCAGGGAATGTCTAAGGGAGGAGTGTTCAGGCATGGAAACAGCAAGTACAAAGGCCCTCAAGCAGAACATGCCTGACACTTTCCAGGAGCAGCAAGAAGGCCAGTGGGGCTAGAGCACAGTGATCTGGGTGGACAATTGTAGAGGAAATAGTCACAGAGCTATAAAGGCAGTGTCCAAAAAGGTGACGTAGACGACCTGTAGGTCCTTAGCTTTCACTCTGAGTGAGATGGAAAACCACTGGAGGGTTTTAAGCAGAGGTTTTAAAAAGATCACTCTGGTTGCTACATTGAGAATAGACAACAGGAAGACAAAAAACACTGTGGAAACAGAAGTGAATATCTAAGTTTCATAAGCTTTGTGCAATTTGAGTAACTATCTTTAAGAAAAAGTATGCAAAAATTACAAATAAAAAATTAGGGATAAAAATATGAAGGGGGTCATGCAAAAAGTGGCTGTGAAGCCTAAGTTTCATCAGCTGCCAGATAAGTTCACCTTGGGCCCCTGTGGAAGAAAAAAAATGGTGAAGAAGCTCTTGCAACAACCCAGGCAAGAGACCGTGGTGGTGTAGCCTGGCAGAGGAGTGAATGGGATGTGGTTAGATTCTGCATATATTCTGAAAATAGACAACAGGATTGGCCAACAGATTAGATATAAGCTGCAAGAAAAAGAAATTAAGAATGATTTATGTCCATGACCATTGGAAGACTGGAATTACCATTCACAGAACAGAAATGGGTGGTATCTATTCTTGTGCAGTGACATTTATATATTTGTGAAACTGTTGCTAATTTGACTGTATATGCTCTTGAGACCAGGGTGCCATCTTGTTTATTTCTATGCCTCACAGAGCTCCTAGCTTACCACTGCATACATTTAGATACTCAAAATGTCTATTGAATGAATGATCTTTATATGCTCTGCTTCCTTAATGGAAAGTAAGAAAACTATGCCCATTACTACTCATTGGGTTCTTTTTATTTAATGTAAGGATATGAATGAGCCAACCAATTTTGGGACAGGCCAGGAGCCAGGATGTGCAGAGAATAATCTAAACAACCCACCCTACGTGCCTGGTAAGTACACTGAAGGTGTCAAATGATTCTGAAACATTTTTACATCCCATGGGGAAAAGTCTCTTTAACGTTTTCAGTTTGTCTTAGGAAAGTATAAACTTACCAATCTAAGAACAATAAGTTCATAGTTTACCAATTTAGAAATAATTCAGAAAACTCAGAACATGTATGTGCACCTACTGTAGTCCTTTAGTGGTAAGGCCTTGGAATGTTTGAGTATTGTGTCCTCACGTGTCTAGGGAGGGACCAGAGTCCCTTAACAAGGAGGCAGGGAGTTCGATTTGTTGGTATGGGATTGCAGCCAACTCTTAGATGACTGAGTTCTTCTCTCTGACTACAAGGTCTGCTCAACTTATGATTTCCGTAATTTTTGCTATTTCTGTAACTAATGTTCAATCAAAAATGCTACCAGATGGAGAAGTTGTGAGGATTTAGTTGACAAGTAGAGTTTTGCAGCCAGAGTAAGAGAGGCTTATCCTTGCCTGCAGACTTCAGTTTGAATGATTGTAGCTCTTCATTTACATTTTCTATGCAATTACAGCTATTTGCATGTGTGGCAATTCAGTTTCCAGTGAAACCATAACAAAAGAGAAAAGTAAAACTGAATAAAATTCAGGTCAGAGAACTTAAATTCCCACTAACTTTCCTAGACTCTTGGAGACACTGACCTCCCTCCACTTGTTAGGCAGAAGAGATGGTGTGCAAAAATTACTCCTTTCTTTCACGGTTTTGTGAAGTATCTAAACGAAAATATCAAGTAGGCATCAAGGAATATAAGTCTGGAGAGAAGCAGTCTGGGCTTGAGATGAAAAACTGGGAATTTTGTGTATAAAAATGGTATTTAAATCCACGGGGATGGATGAGTCAATGTATTGAGAATGACCGAGTGTAAAAAATGAAATCAACAAATGGAACCTTCCGACCCTGATCCCTGAGTGAACCTGCACTCCAACATTTAGGCTTTGAATAGAAGAAAAGATATAGCTAAGAAAACCAAATGGAAGCAATTGGATAAGGAGAAGGAAAGACATGAATGAGTGATTATAATTTCTTGTGTCTCAGCTGAGGAGTCTGCATGGTCATTTTTACCAGACGCTGTCAAAAAGCCAAATAAAATGATGCAGAATGTGTCCGGAGATCATCAAATGGAGATTGGCAGTTTTGACAATATTAGTTTCAGTAGAGTATTAAGAATGGATGTCAAACTAAAGTCAGTTAGACAGTGAAAAGGAGATGAGAAAGTAGAGACAGAGTAGTAAATATATCTTTAGTAAGTGGTTTGATTCAAAAAAGGAGTAGAGAAATGGGGCTGTCGCTGAGAAGAGCGTCAGCAAAGGAGGATGTTGTAATATTGTCTTTTTTCTTTTTAAGAAATGGGAGATACTAGAGCGTGTTTGCTGTTAAGAATGAGCTAGTAGACTGGATGAGATGGATAATGCAAAAGAAGTAGGAGTTAACGCAAAGACTGAAGTCACTGAAAAGAGAGAACAGGATAGCACCAACTGTGAAGGGATGGGGCTTTGCAAGAGCAAAAGCACTCTGATTGTTACTGAAGGAAGAATAATAAACCACATACAGATGCACACAGATTTAAGGATTAGGGGGTAGGAGGGTGAAGACCTTCCCATTAGAAAAGCTCCTATTTTAAAGACTTGTTCATCAGTGGCAATGATATGGAGATTGCAATGGAATTTGGGGAGTAACAAGTTTGAAGAGAGAGGAGAATGTGAAGGAGATAAGCCATAGTCACATCAGAGAGTGACACAGTGAACTTATGAATGAAGCGTGGTGGGATTTCAGGCAGTGTTGAGAATTCATTTGTGATTTGCATTCTTGAAGCTAAGGATAGGGAAAATAGAAGGAAGTTGGGTTTTAGAGGTAAAATGTCAATACTACTCTCTGAACCACATTCCATTAAAATGTCAGGGAGTCAATGAAATCACTCATGATAACTTCAGCAATAAGACACCTGTGTCCTATAGTACAAAGTGGTATGAAAGCACTTGCCCAGGAAGGCAGCTCTCATGACACAGGGAACATGACATCATGATCACAGAACAAGCATGGGCTTTATTGTCACACTTGCTCCAAATCCTGGCTCAAGCACTCTCTAGACCTATGAACTCTGATAAGGTCTTTAACTTATTTTGATTGTAAAATAGGGATCTGAACTATTTTGCAAGTTAAGGATTCAAAACATTACATGTAAAGCGGGTGAGTAACGTACAGTAGATATACAAAAATAGTTACTACTGTATCTATTACAAACAGTTTGGGGGGATTTCAATTTAACTCCCAATGCTTTGCCAAACACTGCAAATAAACAACTATTATAGCTGATAATTATTGTAACAATTTTCCCATCATCTTCATTGCTCCAGGGTATGAAGCCAGAACTGGTTATCTGAGACAGTCTTCATTTTTAACCTGACCGGAATAATTCTTTCATAGTTGATGGCCTAAGGCCTGCCTATCTTATTCCTGGTTTATAGTCTTTTAAAAGACAAAATCTAGCACTATGTAGAACTAAAAAAAAAAAAGAAAAGAGAATGACTCAGAGAAGAAAGACACTGTTAATACCAACTCAGGACATGAAAGAAAGAGGTCCAGTTAAGCTCTCAGATGAAGCCTTTATAAAACACGTTATTGTAAAAAGTGAGCATTACCAAGATACTCGGCCTAAGGACTGTAAAGACCTGATGTAGCATCAAATGAATATTCTCACTCCCTGTGCTATTTTTAACCAATATTAAATTTCTTTTTATCTCTTTTACAATTCAACAATCTAAGGTTTTACCATTTTGTGTAATCTCTTTGATTGGTAACTGTTTCTGATTGTATAAAGTTAGGCTTTTGAGATAATTAGGAGTTATATTCTGGTTAAAGTACAGGAGTCCTATAATTATCCACTGCATTTCAGTCAGTAATTATCTACATTTGTTACATTTTTTTTTTTTCCGGTGGCTGAGCAGGCTGGCTCTATTCTGATATAGTTTGCTTCAAATGTTCTCTCAGGACTGAAAGAATGTGATGAGGTGGCTGCCTTCATCTGTGGGGGGGTAAGAAGATTATTACACATTGTCTAGATTTCTGGGTCATTGTTTTACATGTGCTACAAATGGCTTTCACATGAGCTGAGCTAAGTGTGTGGTTAAATTTAAGACACAACTGATAGTCAAGGTAAGGTGATTCAGCTGTGCTTTCTGTATCAAAAATCATTAAGATTTTCATTAGACTTATTCTCAAGTATGTGGATTTGGAAGTTAAATGTCAAGAGGTCGTATATCTCTTTAGAAACATGTTGTCTTCAAAATAATAACAAGTTGGAGAAAAGTTTGTAGTAGAAACAATAATGCTTTAAAATCAACAAGATTCTCCCCTGCGCCCTCCACCCCCGCCACCCTTTCCAGGGAGACCAAAGCCTTTTAGAATTTATGATCTTATATGTCTTCAAAATGTGTCATAAGACAGCTTATAAATGGTATTAATATCCTAATTTTGAATATCTAAAATAGAGGCAAACATTTCAAGGCAGCAGAATCTGAACTAGAATTAGATTTCCTTGTGTATTAGACTTCTTCAATCTTTGCTGCTATGTCAACAAAATGCGTTTAAACAAGTAGTAAAAGCTAAAATTAATGATTCTGAGGGGAAAAGCCAAGAAGCTACAGAAAAATAAGGGTAGGGCAGCTCAGAGTGTGGTTTCCTACAAAGGAACCCATTGAAACTAGTGTACAAAGAGCTGTCTTTGAGTAGACTTGTTCTCAGTCAGGTCTTTGTGATATATGCTGGATATGTTTTGAGAGACATGATTTAGCTTTGGCAATCTGAATCTATGTACACAGGGGATATGTAGGTAAGAGGCTTTTGGAATTCTGACACTCTTGTTCAAATATGAGGAGGATGTCCATAGTTCAGGCTTTCCCAGGAGCACCACTGCTGGAGGCATCCATCTCTAGCCAAACATACCGCTTAACATCTTCTACTGCAGGAGCAAGAGTGGGTCTGTTGAAAGACAAGTGTTGGACCAGGTGTTACAAGTTTTGCCTCGGTGCTGCATGTTTTATAACTTTCAGCATATAACACACCCGTTTTAGCCTGATTTTATAACAATCTCTTCCACATTGCAGGTTTTTATACCCACGCTACTCTGGAGAACTATTAAGAATATATGATAAGAAAGATCTTCATATTTTATGACCTCACTTATAGGAGGATATTATTAGTGTGACTAAGATCACAGAGAATATGATTTAGTTCCTCGTATAATCAAATCTACATTTAATTCACTTACTCCAAGTGTTTAGCAAAGTCAGAGAATGGGAGTTATGAAGAAAAGCTGAATTTCAGCCTCGAAAAAGAATAGCATTTGGGGAAATTAGACATATACTAAGAAACAATTAATAAAGTATGAGGCAATAGAAATTAAGTATCAGAGGGAATAGTTCCTCTTTGTATGTTTAGCAAGCTATTTTAAAAGAAGTTGTACCTACAGCAAAGATATTTCTTTTAAATTTTTTTAAACTGACAATTAAAAATATGCATTTATGTATATAAACGTATGTATTTGTGGTGTATAACATGATGTTTTGATATATTTATATATTGTGGAATAACGAAATGAAGCTAAGTAACATATCCATTAGCTCACATACTTGTTATTTTTGTAGTGAGAATATTTGAAATCTACTCTCAACAATTTTCAAGTATACAATACATTGTTATTAACTATTATCAGCATGTTGTACAATAGATCTCCTGAATTTATTTCTTTTGTCTAACTAAAATTTTGTATCCTTTGACCAATCTTCCAAATTCCCCATCAGCCCTTGGTAACCACCATTCTACTCTCTGCTTCTATGAGTTTGACATTTCTAGATTCCACTTGTAAGTGAGATCATGTGGTATTTGTCTTTCTGCATCTGGCTTATTTCAGTTAGCATACTGTCCTCCAGGTTCTTTTCACTTGAGATGAGTGCTTCCCAGTCTGAGAGGTGACA